TTAAAATCTTATTTATCTTGTTTCTATCTTTAATAAGTTTTTCATAAAAATCATCATCAATTTCTATAAGCTTATTACTGGTTTGTATTTTAACTTTCAACAATACATTATACTTCTCTAATTGTTTATCATCTAATGAATTACAAACTGACACTGTTTTAATATTATTTGTTTTAATTTGTTCTAATATTTTACTTTTGTATTCAATTGTTGATTTAAGTAACTCAACCTTCCTTTTTTCTAATACACTTGTTGGTTTATTACTTTTAGATTTTTTAATACTTTTCAAATTCTTTAATTCTTCTTCATACTCATTAATTTGTTTCTCAGTTTTGTTAATATTCGCTTTAAATTTCTTTTGTTTCTCAACAAGATGTTGGTATTCAGTAAATTCTCTTTTTGCAATAATTAATTCCTTTCTTACTTTTTCTAATTCACTTCTGGGATTAATTTCATTATTTATAATATTTTCTAATAACACAATCTTATCTTTTAATGCATTAATTTTAATCTTATTTTCAATTAATTTGTTTATTTTAACAAACAAATTATTAAATTTAGTATAATTATAAACAGGAAGTTGTCTTTTCAACCCCGACATTTTATTACAAACTTTCAAATATTCCGATTTTTTTGTAATACTACAATAATTATTAAAGTTACTTTTACCACCAGTCATTGTACCTCTAGGATCATATACAGTACCATCTAAAGTTACACAATGTACCTTATTAGCATAACAATATTTTCTAGCTTCATCTTTATCTTCAAAAATATGATATTTTCCAAATATAAACTTCATCACTTTATCATAGATTTGATCATAAAAAATACAATCTAATAAACTATTCCTTAAATTAGTATTAATAATCTTATTTAACGGAAAACAACTAACTTTTCTCTTACTGTTATTTATGATTGAACTAGCAACTTCATCATTTTCAACAACTAAAAAATTTCTCATACCTCCTAGAATTGTGTTAACAGCCAATTCATATTTCTTATCTTTTACTTCAAACAGTTCAATTACCGTACCATAAATCATATCATTAAAAACATCATAAGTAAACTTATCTATCATATTTTTACTACACTGAAGCAAACTTTCATATTCTTGATATTTTTTAGATGTTTGATTTTTGTATTCTTTAATTGCTTCTAATTCACAATTTACGTTATTATCACAATAAAACTCTTGTAAAAGATTGTTCAATGAATCACCACCCAAAATATCGTTATTATTTAATTCAATTTTTATCAGCTCTTTATTTAGAAAATTAACTTTTTTTATATTATCATCTTGAAGTTGATCATTTAATATCTTTTCCTTTTCAGTCAATAATTCTATTTTTTCATTATTAATTTCTTTAATTTCGTATGTTGTTTTTTTATTTAATTTTTCATTCAAATTATTTCTTAATTCATTC